AGACTGCCTTGAACTCGGCTAAGCACCGCTGAGTTCACCATCCCCACACCAACCACCCTACCTGCTACCACTCATAAGTAAGGACTGTCTCAGAAAAATAACCAAAATACATAACTTAAGATTTAATTCACTCCTGAGGGAAGACTGTGTGTAGGCAGACACCATCAAAGTCACTTGAGTACACAACTAAATGTCATGTTATTAATACAATAATTAAATGACTATTTCATAACAGGTAGCTTTTTCACTATGAGAACTGAAACAAATAATTTCCACATCTCTGCAACCAATACAGCAAATAATCAGTCTCAGTAAACAGTCTCATTTATAGTATTGCTCTTACTTACTCGCCTCCACACACCTTCTGACCATTCTCAAATATCGTCCTCTACCTGCCTGTGATGACTTTAGTTGAGCTTGTATCTTGTTTATTTTCTATGTCTGCTGTTTATTTTATTTTTTTACTTTGCTACATAATTCACAAAGCTCTTTGTCACAAATACATGGCAGTTATTTTGCTGTGTTGGTGGCTGAGTTGTCAAGACCACATAAACTGAGGCCAATTCATGACCTAGACAGGGTGAGAGTCAAAACCGGGACCAGATAGTATACAAAGGTCACTAATATGTAAACTAATATTGGCATCTGTCCCAATCCAGCTCCACCAACAGACTTAAAAACTCTTTCGTCCCCCTGACCATCAGACTGTACAACAGCTCCTAATCAAGGCAGGGAGGACAATAGACAATAGGACAATTTCTACCTCCATTTGCACTGTTTACTTCCATTTGCACTGTTTACTGTTTTGCACTGTTTACTGTGGCTACTGTGTTATAAGTTAATTTTATTTAAATTTTTAATATTATTTTAATATAGGTTTAATGTATGTTTAATGTATGTATGTTTCTTATGCTACTGGATACTTGAATTTACGTTGGGATAAATAAAGTATCTATCTATCTCTATCTATGTATCTCTGGGTGATGGGTGAAAAGATTTTGGTACAGAGGCAGATTGATAATGTTAGCAAGCTAGCTTAGCAAGTATCACTTACCCTTAGCTTACCTTTCTTTATGTGCCAACTAAGTTTGACATCTCTTTTCAGAACAAAAAATTCTGCAACTAAGTTATTGGTTGCATTTAAAGCAGGAAGTTTTCATCCAATCACAGTAATGACATTCACATTTTGGTGATATCCCTGCAGTTGTGGTCTTGACAGGTCTTGAAATAAAATCCTTAGACCAAGTAAAAATGGTGAATAGGTTGCTGAGATGAGACCAAGACCTTCAAAGTGGTCTTCAACTTGAGACCCGTCCTGAGACAAAGACTGATCTCAAGTACTACAAGACTGACTGGAGGTCCATGAAACACACTTACTGTAACGTGCAAACTCATCCAAACCTACACCTACCTTGATCACCATAAGGTCAAAGCCAGTCATTATACAGTAGCGCTCCTGAATGCAGAGCAGAGCGATGTGCCACACCTGACTGCCAAACAGTCACCTTAAACCAAAGACTGCTGCTCAGTAGTAAGATGTGGTTTGACCTGAATTATCATCCCCATTCTCTCTCTCTCTCTCTCTCTCTCTCTCTCTCTCTCTCTCTCTCTCTCTCTCTCTCTCTTGTTGTGGCTTATAGTCTCTCCTTACTCTCTTGACCACCCCTTTTCGCCCCACCTCGTATTTAGCGGGCAACCAGACATTCTTGACATTTCGCAAAGGTTGAAAGACAAAGAACCTTTGTCTCCTAATAAGGCCGTGCTCTATACCCCACCTGAATGAGAAAACTGTCAGAGAGAGGGGCGGCGTGGGTGAGGAGGTGGAGGAGGAGGGGGATGCAGCGTATATAGGGATACATATGGGAGCGTTAAAATGCAGATGAGGATTGGGAATGGGTGGGTAGGACAGGAAAAGGAAGGAAAGTTTTACCTAGGAGGGGGCATGAAGGGTTGTGTATGCATGCAGGTAAAAGGTGTAGGAGGAGTAAGAAAGCAAGAAAGAAGGTAAAAGTGAACGTTGTTATGATCAATCCCCCATCTGTAAGCTGAGAGTGATAACAGTTAGGTTTCAGAGGCTAATGTAAGCTGTGTGAAACAAGCCAGCGCACCCTGATGCTTCGGCCGCAGTCACACAGACAGACTCGGATGCTCTACAAGAGAGCGATATTCTCTATCACTGCTATAGCTTGAAGCGGAACTCACAACACCCAAGGTCCTTCTGGTCTCTTCTCATCTCTCTCTCTCATCCATCACACCCCTCAGCTCTACCTCTCACCTCCCTCATCGCCTCCCTCAATCTCTCTTGCACCTTATTCCTCCACAGTTTTCTCTGAAAAACTTGCTCCAAAACAGCTGAGGCGAGAGAAAAATAGTGTTCTAGCAGAGTGTAAGCAAGGACAGAGGTGCAATGAAACGGAGAGGTTTAAATAGTTAGAGCTCACAACCTGTTCGAGCCCCTTGCAACCTTTGGTTTAGTCGCATCTTGTTCCTCACTCTGCCAGTGTCACTTTGAGTTATGTCTACCTTATTCCTTCCAGTTAGCATACAGCTGTGGCCCCGTGTTATGCAATGTCCCCGGATTGTCTCATTCGCAGTTTTCAAGGCAATGCAATTTTGCGAAGGCGCAGAGTTAAAAGTGAGAACACAATAGTGTTTGTTTCTGTGTTTTGTCTCAACATTACATAAGCAAAAGGTAAAAATATCTGGACCTGTCTTTAAAAGCAGATGGTGTGGTTATGACATCAGGCTCGTTAAAGGCAGCTATAACTAGGAAGAGCCAAGGGTTGCTGTGAAGTACACTGCTTTTAATCCAGCTTCCACTTACTAACAAGGAGAAGAAATGTTCAGTGTGTGTGTGTGTGTGTGTGTGTGTGTGTGTGTGTGAGAGAGAGAGAGAGAGAGAGAGAGAGACAGAGAGAGAGAGAGAGAGAGATGAGCTATGAAACAGAAGTACGTGCTGCAAAAATCTTTAAATTCTCCTCTTATAGTCTCTTTTCTTTCTCTATATTAGTCTTCATCTGTGCCCCCCTTTCTCCTGTTTCTCTCTCTCTCTCACTGGAATGTGGGCAGATATGGGATCATATTCAGACTTCCAGATTCATTCTGCTATAGCGACTCAGGAGCCAATATTAGCCACGCGGTCGTTGTTTTACCCATGAGCCCGTTGCCTTGGAAACGTTGCATAAGAGGGAGTGGGAAAGCGGGATGCCCCTTGCTGATTGGGAGACAAGGTGGCAGATCTCTCTTTCTCTCCCCTTATCTTCCCTGTATCTTCCTCTTGCATCTTGTTCTTTTCCCTCCACTCAACACTTCTTCTAATCGCATGTGTCAAAACACTAGCGCTCCAACTGTCCCCTCATGCCACGTGTTGATCAACTCATCACCCAGCACTGCTAAATAAAGCAGCAAAAGCAGTCAAAAGCAGCATATCTGTTACAGTTAGTCGGCCCAGCACCCAAGCTTCAACTAAATTAAAGCTCCTGTTGGAACAGTGATTTATAGCCCAATTGGAAATGTTTGTCCACACAGTGCTCACACACCAGCACCTGCACACACACTTGCACACACACCGCTCCATGAGCTGGCCTGTCCTTGGCTGAAGTTAGGGAGGATAGTGCTTTGTTGAATCCACTGAGACCACATGTTCAAGACTGCATGACTTGTCCCTCCATGGCTTCCATACGAGCAAAGCAACGCTGTGTCTACATACCAGGAGGATGAGAGGGAGACGGGGGAATGATGAGGGAGGACAGCGAGTGAGGGAAAGATGGCCTTGGCTCTTGAGACAGGACAATTTATCTTCTGTATCCTCACTGACTCCGTCCATTTTCCAAGAAAAGAAAGAAAGAAACAGGATGGATCAGACTAGACATTTAAACTTTAAACAGTCATTTAAAAGTGAGGCCTGCAGTTTATCCAAAAATGTCCAAATAATATAACAACATGCTGCGTGACATACCTGTGTAGGCAAAACCAGAGAAGTGATAAGTGATCCGAACAAACCAGGGCTGCTGTAGTTTGCACACTCTCCGATAGAATAACCTCAAATTGAGTTTCTAGTGTAATTTGCATTTTTTCCAGCATGTAGCAAGCCAAGAAAAGAGCAGGGTGGGCAGCCCCTGTGTGAGGGAGCTGTCTTAATCCATGTGTTTAGCAAGCACCATCTGCTGCTTTTATTCAGATGGGAGTAGAAATATTTGGTTGATTAGGAGAGGATCTGTGTAGGATAGCCGCACCGTTACCACCGGTTACAAGGGACACACATGCTCAGTTCTGTCAACTGGTGTCTTGGAAAGCAAACAGAAGACAGACGCACAGACATCAACATGCAAGCGCTCCAATAAGTACACATGTGCATATGGATGTGAATGTGCGACACACGCACACTCTAAGCACACAACAAAAGTGTTCACAATAGCGTAACGCCATACACAGAGGCAGACATGTGGAGGCTCCCACAAACTGAGCAGATTTGGAAGAATGCAAACACTTGCAGACAGATTAACAAGACATTTCTGCTCAGTGAGGTAATGGTAAAGAAAGAGAACAATGCACAACAATATGACCTATGTTTGGTAATTGTCAGGATACACTTAACTCTGCTTTTTTATAGATACATGTTAAAGTTCCTTTGTGAGTTGTTTCTTTCCAATAAAAAATGCCACATGGTACAGATCTACCGAGACTGTATGATTTAGAGTCTTTGAGTTTAGCTCATTAAAATATTAATCTGTGACTACAGATAATTCAGGTTAAATCCACTAAATAATGCTGGTTGACCCTTTGCTTGTCCAAGCTTGGCTGGTTGCAGTTCATCACAGATTACATGCTTATGTTATTAAAATACACTCTCTCTGTAGAGAATTACACAGAGAGAATTAGTTGTATGCTGTTTAATTAGATTTGTTTACCAACATTTCATCAATAATTCATCATTATACCTTAAAAACTTCCATTGCAAATGTTCATAGCAAAACTTGTGTGTGTATTTCTATCTCCAGGTGCTGATCTCGGTGGTCTGATGGACCTGGAGTCCCTGTATCGCGGTGTGGAGCAGAGCATCAATCACACGCGAGCGGGGCGAATGCGCAGACAGAGCCTGGACAGGGCCTACAACATTGAGGTGCTGTTGGGTGTCGACGACTCTGTGGTCCAGTTTCACGGAAAGGAGCATGTACAGAAGTACCTGCTCACCCTCATGAACATAGTAAGTGTTGGTGACTCACACAGTTAGATACACTCTCTGAGTGTCAGGTAAACTGCTGACTTTTAAAGTTATTTTAGAGCTCAGGTATCACATCACACGCACAGTATGCTGTACACACGTCATACCAAATGCCCCAAAATTACATTTGTTATCTTGCTTAAAAAAAATCTTTAAATGGAAAAACTGGTCCATTTGCGTTAAATGGGAAGTAAGTCACAGAGAGGTCAAAGAAAGATGGTAAAAATCACACACACACACCGACTGAATGAGGATTCAATTCCCTTCCTACATGTTCTCATCCAGCAATCAGCCGCGGGTAATCCTTTCTTCTTTATCTGAATATGATGAGATTTCATTTGTTTGAGTGTGTGTGTATGTGTGTGTGTGTGTTAGGTGAGCCCTGTGCTCTGAAGGGGCTCCTACATATCATTTCATCAGGCTTTGTGTCATGTCATCATTCATTGTGTGTGTGTGTGTGTGTGTGTGTGTGTGTGTGTGTGTGTGTGTGTGTGTGTGTACGAGAGAAAGAGAGATAGAAAGAGAGAGAGAGAGATGCAGAAACAGCAGGCTGTATGCTCCAGGCCACAACAACACTTAGCCAAGCATTCAAACTCCCAGTTGTTTTTACGTGTGTGTGTGTGTGTGTGTGTGTGTGTGTGTGTACATGCATTTGTGTGTTGGTGTGACACTGAACACATTGCAGACTTTAATCTTTGCAAATTAAACCTGTGGTGAGAGTGCTGTTTGCACGGGTTTGCGCGCATGCACGTGCACATTCGTGTGTGCGCATCTGTTTGTGTGCGTGCCCCTGTTTGCTTTTGCTTGTATTGAGACCCACTGCGCAAGGAACCAATCTCCGACTGTTAAGCAGGTGCAAGCACACAGCAACAAATCCTACCACACCTCTTTGTCTCAGCTCAGCGCTTGAGAAAGAACAAGAGCCGCTGTGCTCTCTGCCTCCCCTTTTAGATATTTGTTAGACAATATAGGAGAGGGGGATTCGCATCCCTGTCGCAGCCCCCCTCTAATCTGTGGGGAAGCAATGGAGAGACAGAGGGAGAAGGAGTATTTTAAACAGCGCATTCGGAATAAATTACTGACAACCAGATAAACAGAAATAAATAAATAAGAGCTGCCTCCCACGCGTGGCATCTGGGCGACTTTCTTCTTGAAAGTTTGCTTTGCTCACTTCAGGATGGGTGTGTTCTCTTTCTCTCTCTCTCTCTCTCTCTCTCTCTCTCTCTCTCTCTCTCTCTCTCTCTCTCTCTCTCTCTCTTTCTGTTTTATTTCTTTCCCTCTCTGTCTTTCTCTGGTTCTCCCAGTCTCACAGCAGCACTGAGTCGCTATACACTGAGCTCTTTTGCATTGTTACTCCTCCCTGACTTGGGTAGTTTATGGCAACAAATGCTCAACAATGTTAAAAAAAAAACTTTCTAAGTATAATGCGAGAGATAACACCGGTTTATGAGAAGACATACAAGTTAAATTTAGGATAAGGAGAATGTATATTTGTCACAGGTGTCCTCTAAAGGCATTCATACAGACGGACGGGTTTTTAAGTTATTGTAATAGTGTGGCACAAAGAAAGATAGAAAATACCTTTCTTCTCTTTATTTCCCTGTCCTGGAAAGGATACATTAAGAGGAAATAAGGGGCGTTGTTTTCATGATCCTCTCCTCTCCCGCTCTAGTATTTTTCCTACCTCTACCTGTTCTTGTCTCCCTGAATTCCTCAATCCAGTTTTCCCCCTTGCTTTCAGGCTGAATTGAGTGAATCTGATAGAAAGGCTTATGTATGCGTGTGTAGTGATCTTGTATCTTTTGTTGCAGCAGCTGTTACACCATTGTAAAGCCACCTTCAAAGGATAAATAAAGCGCTCATGTTTCAGTACAAAAGGTTATTCTGTAAAACCACAATGTATTTGTAATTTCTCACAGTTTACTTCATCTATTTTTTTTTTCTAATGACTGTATGTCTGTCTTTCTGTCTGTCTGTCTGAATAACAAATGAGCTAAGGGTCAAGGTAGACAATTTGGTCTGGCATGCGTGTATGTGTGTGTGTGTTTGTGTGTGTGTGTGTGTGTGTGTGTGTGTGTGTGTGTGTTGGAGGATAGGGGCGGCACTGCTGTCTGCAGGACATCAAAGCGCTCCAACAGAAAACCACTAAATCCTGTCTGTAAAGTGCAACAGGAGTGTCAAAGTGTGTGTGTGTGTGGTGTGTGTGTGTGTGTGTGTGTGTGTGTGTGTGTGTGTGTGTGTGTGTGTGTGTGTTAATGTGTACGTTGTATTGGTAATTCTGCTTCCCACTCCTTTCCCATGTGTTTACCTCCCTTCCTCACATTGTATGTTTGTTCAATTGCATCAGTGTACAAGAATGGGTCGTACCACATGGCTTAATTATTCAATAACCATTTCATAATTTATCAATGGATGAGAATTTGCTGACTGACCTCATAACCTAAAATCTCACTCAAACATTATCCAGCAAGACTTTTGTTTATTTAACTAAGTGTGTATTGTAACTTGACAACAGTAACAATGACAGTTTGGAGGACCTGTTGCCTGACTCTGATCTAAGTCTTCACTAATACAGTTAATATAATATCTGGCTACTTTGCTTAAGAGTTAATGTTAGTATCTGAAGTGTGGCTCTATACCTGTACATTTGTAGATAGAAGAAAAATATTGGAATTGTATAGATTTACAATAATGTACATTTTACATTTTCTGTGTAGACGCAGTGCAAATAATTATACAAAAATATACATATATGGTAAAACAATTACCATTGTCAAATAGGTGCAGGCAGGATATGAGTGGATTGTGATGAAAATGGGGTGTATGTATGTTGGTGTGTGAAGGTAAAGAGAGAGAACAAGAAGGTGGCACAAGATGAGAAAATTAATAAATAAAACACAGTAACTACAGGACAAATAGAAAAAGGAAGGGGTGGAGTAATGGTGGGCCGAGCAGGTAGCTCTGTGTCTCGACCCCAGGTGACAAAGTGGGCTGATATGGGCTCTTAAAAAATAAGCATGTTGTTGCAACAGTGTTGTGGTAAATCCTGTGAAATATGTTGTGTGCAAAATGCCAAGTGGAGGCTATTGTGCAGTAATCTTCCTGAGGCGAACAACAGTTATCTGTCTGTCTACCTGTCTGTCTCACCTATTAATGGAGACCTTTAGAGAGGTGCTGCAAACTGTTAATCACCCTCTCTGTGGATATGAATACTGCTGATGAGAGAGGTGTGTGTGTGTATGTTTAATTTTAATGATACATGTTAGTATACTGAGGTGTATTTTGTCTGCACCTTTACGTCCTCAGTGTGATAAGCATTATTTCTGTAGGAGCTGTCAGACAACGATGCCGATGGTTCAGTCTTGTCTCTACCAAAGCTCCTGCAGGCAGTGAAAAGTCATATTAATAAGTGGTAGGAAGAGCTGGGAAAGGTGAGGTAGTCCAGGTAATAATAGACACCTTGTTAGCTAGAAGTGTCACAGATATGTAAGGAGCACTGTCAGACTGAGAGCTCAAATTCTGGATCTCGGTTTTTAAATATTCTTATGTGTGTTGACAAGGAGATGTAGAAAAGCTGTCCAAAGTCTTATCTAATTTATGTAGCACTCCAGCCAGATTTTATTTGATGACTCAGTTCTGTCTCATCAGCAGCTGAGAGTGTTTTTAATGCATATTTTAATACAAATTTTAATTGGCCCATTAAATGGAGCTCGCTCTCCATGGTAAGTTGATTAAAACACATGAGCTCCGAGTATGAAAATACTCCCATTATTACACAGTTAGCTTGAATATATTTTAAGGCTTTATGACTGTGCATCCTTTAGTCTTATTAAGGGCAAAAATATTACAAATCCAGACAGAAATAGACAAATTCCTACTGTATATGCCATTTGAATATATAGGATAAGGTATTATTGTAATGTGTAAATGTGCTGTAGGTGTGAACCTGTGGATGAGGTGCCAACCTCTCGCTGCCCTGTGACAGAACTGCTGGTGTCTTCTTGGTCTTCAGTCTGAATTATCCCTCCTGTATTCTTTCTTTAGGAGCATTTACCGCTGTTTGCTTTGTTTTTGTAGCAGGTAACATCTCGGTGCCCTTCTTCCTTTACATGATTCATATTTTAATTTAATCTCTAATGCTGAAATTGAAAGTTATTGTTTTTCTGATGTCACGAAAGGTTTATTTACATGTAAACACGAGGGAACAAACCTATTTCAAATTTGGATGCACATAAACAACCTTATTTTTCATTTTTGAGTCAAACATTTAAAGTATGCATATGATTCAGGTTGTTAACCAATTACTGATTACTGTGCCTGTGATTTCACTCCCTTGCTCCTCCTTTGCCAATTGTCTCTATACCTTCTCTCTTTATTTCGCCCTCCCTCTTGCAGAGTTAAGTGACAGGCCTTGGCTGCATTATTTATAGTAATGATTTTGTGCCTTGCTGACCTCTAGGCCTGCATTTGTTAATGCACAGACAGACAGACAGACAGACAGACAGACAGACAAATCTAGGCTACCTTGGATGTAGCCTGGGTAGTAAGTAATGACACCTGATGTTGCCCTTCAGGACGTCAGAGCACAGCCAGCAGCATTAATGAGGGACATGCTTGTACAGTTGTTAACAACTGTGCATGTGTGTGTGTGTGTGTGTGTGTGTGTGTGTGTGTGTGTGTTTATCTGTGCATGCATAGGTAAGCACATTTCAGTGAATATGGGGGTGCGTTTCGGATTATGAATCACTGTGCCATATCTGTCCTGTAGTGTACAGCTGAGTGTGAAGTGTCCATCTGTATGCAAGAGTTAAAAAGCATGAAAACAAAAAGTTGCTGAAACGACACTACGTTGCCTCGGTGTGTGTGTGTGTGTGTGTGTGTCTCATTAGAGTGGAACTTGTGGTGTCGGGGTCACCTGGAAGTCAACCGCCCCTAATTGGCCAAATAGTTGTCAAGGAAACGGGCTGGATCAGGCCAAGTGTGAACTGACCCATCCAAGTGCCCATGTCATCGCAGACAAACAAAAACACACACACACACACACACACACACACACACAGTCATGTGTTTGTCACTTCCTCACGTACACTTCAGCCTGCCAAGATAACGAGGGAGTGAGACAAATGTTACCGAATGAGAGAGACAGAAATACCAGTAGGTAGCCAGACAGACAAGCAAGATGAAAACTGCAGACACACACACACACACACACACACACACACACACACACACACACACACACACACACACACACACACACACACAGTCTCAGACAGGGTTAAACTGAGAAGACAACAGGACTCTCTGTATTTGTTTGGGGGTTACTCTGTATCTTTTTTAATGTGTAAAAGGAGCATCCAAAAACCATGGATCTGAGGGTTGCTGCAATAAAACTTTTCCCTGTCCTCTCTCGTGTCTCTCACTCTGAGACTGATCCCACTCCTCCGTCCTTCACCTCAGGAACAAAAGCTTGTTATAAGATACTGAATGTATTTTTTAAGACCATAGCTTGATGCCCCTTAACCTTGTATATTGTGTAAGGTAGAAAGTACATATTTAAGTTAATTTCCATTTTATGCACATTTGTTTAGTATTTTTCACACTGTACTGTAGCTACTGTTACTTAAGTAAAGAGTAAAAAAGTAATCCGAATATTTCTTCCACCACTGTATCATACTCTCGTCATATCTAAAATGAAAATCTTATTATTCAAGATAAACCCCTTGAGATGTGTTTTAAAACATGTCAGAGTAACACATGGACAAGAGCTGCATGATACACAGACTCCTTGAGGAATATAAAAAAGTCCATCAGGACTAAGTTTCAGTAAATAATAATAGAAGTAATGAATTGTCCTTCAGGACTTTTTTGCTCACTTGACATATTTCAGTTTTGGCTTGGAGTTTCAAATATGTGGCTGTTGACTATCAAGGAGGTTTACTAAAAGATACATTGAAGTTGCATTATGGGAAGTGTTTTTGATCTATAAAAGAGATTATAATATTAGATTATAAATTCACTTTATTTTACGGTTTCTGAAAATGATGTTAAGTTGTTTATATATGCTTATATAATAAAAGAGATTTAGGCTATTCCAGATAGTTTGGGTTAACAAATTAGGATTCTGACTTGAAGGATCACTCCGCTGGATTTTTCCAAATAGGATGCTGGAATTTCCGACTTTACACCACGTATTAGGTTACTCCAAATGTCTCCTTTTTTTCTTTAAAAAACCTTTTGCTGCAGCAATATGCCACATTTGTTTTCTAAGAATGCATCGTTTCCATTCCTTTTCAAGCTCTTTCTCTTTTCTCACTTTGCCTCCGTGCTCCTTTCCCCCACTCTGCTCGGCTTCTTGTCTCTTTCCCTCTGCTTCTGTCTCTATTCGTAGCATTCCTCAGCTCTACCTTTGTCTCGCTGGGTGTGTCTGCAATTTTGTTATTCATCTCTGTACCTGTGTGTAGGTGTAGTGTGTGTGTGTGTGTGTGTGTGTGTGTGTGTGTGTGTGTGTGTGTGTGTGTGTCTGTGTGTACAGTATGTGTCTCTCTTTCTCCACAGCTTGTCCATCAGCCATCTCATTACGATGTCTGTTTTTACATCCCTTTGCCTCATTAGGCACCGCACACAACCACTGAGGACAGCAGGCCTCAACTCCTGCGCCAATTTACCCTTCTCTCTCTCTCTCTCTCTCTCTCGCTCTCTTTCTCTTTCTCTCTCTCTCTCTCTCTCGCTCTGTGTGTGTGTGTGTGTGTGTGTGTGTGTGTGTGTGTGTGTGTGTGTGTTTCACCAGTATAATGCTCTCTGCATCTCCCTTGTCAAACATTACCTTGTTTCCTTGCATTAGGCTCTTTCCTTCCTTTGCATCTTTCTTCCTTCATCTCCATGTGTGCTCATGGGAAACTGAGTTCCACTCACTTCAACTTCCTTTTCTCTCTTTTGTGGTTCCTTTATGTCTTCTCTGGTCTCTTTTATCACTGTATTCCTTCTGGGAAAATTTTGTGTTTAGTGTGTTAGTTATAATACATTTATAAGAGCAACTTTTGGGCTTCTAGGTTGTGAAAAAAATCTCTTTGGTTGGTGTTTATTCTCCTCCAGCATGCCACTTAATTTTAGCATATAGCTAGCTCTTCATCAAGAAAATCGCTCCCAATGGACCAGTTACCAAAATCAATTTTTTAAAGGGATAGTTTTACATTTTGTGGAAATACATTTTTTTGGTTTAAAACAGAAAGAACATTTACAGCAACAGATTTGATGGATCATTTTTTTTTTTTTCAAAAAAGCTTTATTTATGACTTACTACAATTTATAATATTAGAGCTGATGGCTTATTACACAGTAAGAAAGCAATTAATGAATTATTTCTACCATCACTGCGAAGTCAGAGTCGTTCTCATTATTTGATCTCTGAGCATTATTAAAAGATGTATTAACCATTAAAATTAATTAAATTAGTTGCAACTTACAAACCCTTTAGATTTTAGATAAGATTGTGTTGTGTTTCATCTTCTGAGATTTGTGTTCCCTCTTGTGTTTCTCTGTGTGACTCCAGGTGAATGAGATCTACCATGACCAGTCTTTGGGAGCAAAGATCAATGTGGTGCTGGTGCGGATTATCATGCTTGGCTACGGCAAGGTAAGACCTGACAAGACACGAGTTCTACTGAAAAGTCGACTGAGACAATCGCTTTAAGTACCTACAGTAAGAACAGCCAAGTCGTGTAAACACACACTCATAAACAAACACACAGACACATACACGTGTGCACACATCAGCACGCACTGATGCCCCAAGCCTGTTATTCCAGTGGACTGAGCAAAAGAGGAACTAAAAGCATGCAGCATCCCAGGGGAGTGTTTCCAAGTCGCACGCCTTCACAGTTCAGCACCAAAGCACACAGAAACTCTGCCCGTTATGCAATCAGCCTTCCTCCCAGTAGGCTGCAGCACAGAATCATGGGAAGTCCAGGCAAAGATAAACAATCAATGATAGCCCTCCCTCATTCATAAACAGAGAGACCGGACGATGGGTAGCATCCTTTTCTTCTGGACTGTAACTCTATCTGCCTGTCATTGCTGAAGGGAGGAAGAGAGAAAGAATGGAAGAGAGGGAAAAAGACAGATAAAGCAAGAGAGGGCAGGGATCACCCAACAAATGATTTTATTGCTTGATAGGTGCTCTGTGATACACTTATGCTGCTGTAGCCTTATCTCTTCCTCTCCTCTCTACATGTCTACAGTCCCAGTGGAGCCCTGGAAACACACACACACACACACACACTCACACACTCCTACATTGGTCATTCTGGACCAGCCCCTATGCAGCTTCGGCCAAAACTCCGGCTGTCCATCATCCCCAATTACCGTGGCAACAGAGCTGCACCCAGACAGCCTGCAGATTGGCTATGTGACCCTGAATGCTGGCGCACCCACACACCCACACTTCACACACACCCACACAAACACACACACCAACACACTATTACAAATACATCTTTAAAGATCATAAAAACACACTGAAACACACACAAGCACCTGATGAACATGATAAAGCACACACACACGTACAGTGCACTCTGTTTAAGGGGTGTTTGAGCAGAGGCAGGCCATATGTCTTCTCTGCAGCACACTCACACTACACTCACTCTTTGCCGTTTGATTCAGCTGTGCATTGTGTATGTGTGAAAACAGCGAGGAAATGTAGAAAGCGAGGCGAAAAGGAAGCAGTCGAAGATGGAAAGACTCGTACAGCAGAGTGTAGAGAGGAAGGGGTAGGGAGCAGAGATCCTAATGAGGAAGAGAATGAGAGGTGAAGGTGAATGGAAGGAATTGCTGGCATCTGAGTGTTTGTGTGGGTGTTGATTTTATGCATTTAATCATAAGTAAATATTCTGTAATTGGACATGTTTTTGACTATTAGTGCATAGCTCATTAATAGCTGGCAGCTCTGTCAGTTTCATGTTCATTATTGAGACCATCAAGATTACGAGATCCTAAGAATTATTTTGTGTGTTTGTGTCTGCTTGTGTGGTCTGTGTGTGTGTGTGTGTGTGTGTGAGAGTGATTGAGTGTGTTGTACACCTCAGCAATTTGCAAGATGTGCTGACAATATACAACATTGTGACACTGCCCCCTACAGGGATAAATAAATATGTTTTAACAGAACTTAAACAAAAAAAGTCTGTTTAATTCCTCATTTTTGTATAATCTTTACACCTTCTTCTCTCTTTACCTCTCTCTCTCTCTCTCTCTCTCTCTCTCTCTCTCTCTCTCTCTCTCTCTCTCTCTTATTCCAGTCTATGAGTCTGATTGAACTAGGAAACCCATCTCAGAGTCTGGAGAATGTGTGTCGCTGGGCCTTCCTGCAGCAGAAGCAGGACACAGGGGACGCCGAGTATCACGACCACGCCATCTTCCTCACACGACAGGAATTTGGCCCCACGGGCATGCAGGGTAACGAAAGACACGAACATATAACTGTCTGAACACTTCTTTTTAGAATAGTGTACATACATGAAAACTGTGTGCCTGCCCTCCTGAGGACCTAAAACTCATAAGTACGCACAGAACACTCCCGTCTCCCTTCCTTTGCCTCATACAGCTACACAGTGCACTGTGGGTTTGGTGGTTTTCTGTGCAGCAGAGTGCAGGCTAACAGGCAGGCCCAGGGGAGAGGCCTCTAAAGGCAGTGGCCTAGCTATCCAGAAGCCCTTCAGCTGCCCTTGGGCTCAGCCTTCAGCAGCAGAAAATCAATAGGCAGAGCAGGGCCAGCCACAGTCCCACAATTAAAGGCAGTACGGGACAAACAAGCACACAGGGAGTTGGAGATTGGCATATGTAGGGGTGGAAGGCGATGGTTTAGGGTTAGGATTAGACACACAAACATGCACACGTTTGGGTAGGTGTGTGTGTGTGTGTGTGTGTGTGTGTGTGTAAGAGGGTACTGTATGTCTCTATGTGTAAGTAATATACATGATGCATATCTTTGGATAGATAAGTCTCAGATTTAAGGTCTCACATATCCCTCGACTGACATGAATGCACATATTTTGAGCAAATGTGTATTTCAGTATATGGAGTCAAATTAAAGAGTTGCCTAGATACAGACTTCAAATATTGTGCAAATATAATTCAAATTAAGAAAATGTACTCAAATTAAATAATTTGATAATATGAACTGGGTGAGTACAGGTAATACAAGGTTATACAAGTTGTGTACAATTTGTATTAAAGTTTGTGTTGGAAGAATAGACTAAAATATGCAAAACTGAAATGAATTTAAACAAAACTGATTGTCTCGAGTCTGTTTCAGCATCAATTTCAAAGATTGCAGAGGTTTTTGCACTCTCTAAGCTTTCACTGCAGCACAACATTGAATCTACAAATCCTGATGATTTGTGTCTCTCTCTTCCTGGTTGCCTAGGTTACGCCCCAGTGACGGGCATGTGCCATCCAGTAAGGAGCTGCACTTTGAACCATGAGGATGGTTTCTCCTCTGCCTTTGTGGTGGCGCACGAAACCGGACACGTGTAAGTGCATTTGCCATAATGATGTCTTCAAGCCGGCTCTCACAGGACAGCAAAAGACTACAAAGCAGTCACTTATAAGACCGCATTGATTTATTACAGTTTTGGTCCGTTGGTCACCTCAGCTAATATCTGACGAGAGAATTGTCTACCTCTCTCTCTCTGTCTCTCTCTCTGTCTCTCTGTCTCTCTCTCTCTCTCTCTCTCTCTCTCTCTGCAGGCTGGGGATGGAGCACGATGGGCAGGGGAACCGCTGCGGAGATGAGGTGCACATGGGCAGCATCATGGCTCCGCTGGTGCAAGCTGCCTTCCACCGCTTTCACTGGTCCAGATGTAGCATGCAAGAGCTGGGACGCTACCTTCAGTGAGTCACACACACACAGACTCATACTTTTTGAGTGATTTGATTATTTGGGTTTTTAAACTTTCTACCTTTCATCAATATTTTAGACAGAATTTACATCTTGTGGATATTTTGTAAAATTAGTTGTTATCATCCTAAAAGTTATTATATATATACAGTATATATACTATATATACTTTAATTAAAAGTAGTACAACTTGTGTGTTTTCATCAGATTAATATAAAATAATGAAATAATCATTAGTTGCAGCCCTAATTTAAAAAAAAAAATGTTTGCAGTTCCTATGACTGTCTCCGTGACGACCCCTTTGACCACAACTGGCCATCGCTGCCTCAGCTTCCTGGTTTGCACTACTCCATGAATGAACAGTGCCGCTTTGACTTCGGTGTGGGCTACACCATGTGCACCGCGGTAAGAGATCCCCATATTCTGAAAGTCATTTCACTAACATAGCTAGAGTTAACTAACTAACTAACTGCACTAACATACTAAAGGCAACTTTTGTAATTGTTGCCGCCGATCAAGCTTAGCATCACTTTACTTTCTGAGATGATGAAGTTTTTCAGAGTTGGGGTAAAGTCGCTTTGAATTCAGTCTGTTCAGGTAATTCAGAATTAGCTGAATTTCACAGTAGAAGATGCATTTTTATGAAGGTTTTCCTAGTGAAGTGAACCCAGCACTGACATCTATCTCTGATCTACACTGTAATAAGAGTCACACATACACACTATTCACATTCTTCTGATGTCCTCTGCTTTCCCCTCCCGGCCACTGGTGGGATTGGCATCTTGATTAAAAGCAGGTAATTGTTTTTTATAGCTTATTCTTTTTTTCTGTTATTAATGTTAATTATGAAAAATAATATTTAACTTAACTCGTTCCATGATACCAGAGTGCCTTTACATGAACCTGTCACAAGTAATATTTATGTAAACACGAAACATCACACAGTAGACGTGATTCACGCAGCTTCAGCATCTTGCCAGTCATCTTACCTTTCCTCCTGTCACCCTCACCCTCTCTATTACTGTGAAGCCACTGTGACACGCTGTTGCTTGATTGACAAAGGGCTTGTTCAGGGGCTTTGCACACATTGCTAGATTACCCTCTATTCTCTTGTCAAACCCATTCCCCTCAGCTACAAAAGGCGGGCCAGTCAGGAACGCAGGTAAGGTAACCCCACCTTCCGGAAGACATGTGGCCCGTCATTTGTTTTCTCAAATTTTCTTTTCCTATTTGTCCTCTGAAGTTGTAATTGTTTGTAATGTTGCTCCTTACTTTTCTTTTTTACTGTACTTTGTTTCTCTGTTCTACCCATCGTCATATTTTGGACGTTAGTCTGCAGGATTCTAAAATGCTAATTTCTAGAAAGTGGCAGGTAAAAATCCCTGAAAACACTGTGACTCTACTGGTTCCATGGCTATGGTGCAGTTCAACAGCTGAACTGTATCATACCCCAACTCTTTTCCTGCAAATCTGTGTTAAATCACAGCAGTGCTGGCAGGAAGAGCCTCATTATATTGGCACACTCACAACTATAAACGAGTGGAAAAGGTTGGAAAGATGTCTTTCCCATCCAAGGGGAAACGGCTGAGCCAGAACAGAGGCTGTTTTTCCATGTTTCACGTCAGCTTTTAGGATCCTCCAGTCTGATGTCATTGGTGATTACCTACCACAGTCTAGCCATTGATTGTGACTCGCCCTCTGACCTATAAAGGTCCCCTGGGGTCATGGTGGGTAGGGAAGTCTGTGGAAAGGAGGGAGGAGGGCACAGCCCCTCAGACACTGGACTGCTGGTCGGTTTGGTAGTATCCTCATCAATGGTTCATATCAGAGAATTTGGTCCTTGATCTGTGTCTAGGGACATTTTAGAGGTCAATGAGACCTCACCTTTTGGCCTTTTAACCTATTGCCCTCTGCTCTCTGACCTCCCTTGTGACCTAATTAAACCACGGGCTGTCTCATTCTGAGAGTCTTGTCTCTCTTTCTCTCATCCTTTGGTTTAGTTTGCATGAATGGCTGTGTGTTTCTCAGTGGAGCGAAGTGTAGAGTGCAGTGACACAATACAGGGTCGGTGTTGTTATCGTTGCGTATAATACTGTTGTGGTTATTGTTGTAGTGATATTTCTCTTCTCATCTCTATTTTTATTTCCTGTTTTCAGTGTTTAGTCTCACTCCAGCTGTCTCATGATGGTTGACTTGTATTATTGAAGGTCAGTCTGTTACTCAGTGTGTGCGCTGTATGGTAGGGCTTTTAATTGTAAGAAGGAGTCTCTCTCTGTGCCCTGCAGTATCGCACATTTGACCCATGTAAGCAGTTGTGGTGTAGCCACCCAGACAATCCCTTCTTCTGCAAGACCAAGAAAGGACCACCCATTGATGGGACCATGTGTGGGAATGGGAAGGTATTTATACACTATTGTACTTGAACATATAAGAAAAATAATTTGAAAGAGCACTGTATCCAAATAGCAACCGTGTCTTGTGTTCTTGGCCCCTTGCAGCATTGCTTTAAAGGTCACTGCATCTGGTTGACCCCTGACATCATAAAGCAAGATGGAAACTGGGGTACATGGAGCGAGTTTGGCCAGTGCTCCCGCACCTGCGGTGGAGGAGTACAGTTTCGCACACGCGACTGTGACAATCCTAGGTATGAAACTGTGTTTCCCTGTGTGTATGTGTGTGTAAAAAAAATGAGAAATGAAATAGCAAGTTTTGAGTCAGTTAATTATCCTAAATTCAGCTAATGCTCTCTGCAGTTAATCGCTGATATTGATAGTGACAATACCAGAGAGGCAATTTACCCCATTAAGTTGTGTGTGTTAAATGTATCATTTCTAGTCCAAGGCTAATGAATTTTAGAAGTGAAACACAACACACATTCTGAATGATGTATGTGTCCTTTGCCCTGTAACCCTCTCAGACCAGCCAACGGAGGACGTACCTGCGTGGGGGCGACTTATCAGTTCCAGATGTGCAACACCAACGAGTGTGAGGATATCTACAGTGACACACGAGAGGAGCAATGCCACGCTTGGGACCCTCGCTTTGAACTCCACAGCAACAAGCACCACTGGCTGCCTTATGAACACCCAGACTGTGAGTGTACACCCGCAAATAGAAAAAAAACTAAGTAGTTTTGTGGAGAGATAGACACAGAAAGAGACTGTCAGAACCAACATACCAGACTGAGAATGACAAACCCCTGAGTGATGATACACTGTGGAAGTTTTAAATACAAATGAAAGCCAAAACAAGGAAGCAAACACAAAATTCTTGAATGCGGTTGGGTCTTAGAGGGTTTTATATATAGGTTTTGTTCTGTTACAGTCATTGACATCTGGCTGTCCTGCTGAGTCTGAGTACAGCTTTGAGCTACGACTACGCCCTCCCATAAAAACACACCATCTCTTTGAAAACCTCTTTAAAAACAATCTTCTTTGAATTCTTTCTCCACCCAATCGCTGATGTCAGTTGAACCTCACTGACTCCCTCCTCCATCTTCCTCTCCATCCATATATCAGTTGGCACTATACAGACAAACTATCAGATTCACAATGGGATCCCATCCTGGAATTCTCCACTTAATCTAAAAGAAATCTACAAAATCTCTTTAAAATGTATGTGTGTGTGTGGTTGTCAGGCTAACCCTGTCTCTTAAGTGGAGGTGTCACTGCCGTCCTGATAGGTATTAAATTATCATCCAACAAAAGGGCAGCCCTCGAGAAAAGTGCTGAGCTGTCTCTATATCTACTCGGAGGTCACGCTACGCACACTGTGCTAAGGGGGGCCTTGCTAAATTGTTTTTCTCCGTTCTTATCATTTCTAAATGCCATATTTTTCAGCAAGGTTTTCTCAGTCTCAAATTACTTTTCCATCAGTGTGTGTTAGAGTGCGAGCACACATTTGCGTGTGTGTGTGTGTGAGAGAGAGAGAGAGAGAGACAGAGAGAGAGAGAGAGAGAGAGAGAGACAGAGAGAGACAGAGAGAGAGAAAAGTGAACAGGGAGGTGAAATTGAATTCCATTCATGGTCTGTCATCTCCTGAGTTTCAGATGGTGCGAGGAGAGAAAAAGTGTTTCTGCTACGAGTGTGAAATTGTAGTATTTGTTTAGAGGCGTTTGACACACTGTTGCTTTTTTGTCTCTATTTGGGTCTTTTCCCAAGTCAACAGATATTGGCTACTGTAAATTACTCTTGAGCAAAGAAACATGAAACGTAAGGCTGCCCCGTATGTGTGGCTGTTGTTTCAAGGGATTCATCAACCCTTTTGTCTATCATACTAGATCAGAAGCCCCAAATCGTCTCCTGTTTTCAGTAATTTCCCACAGATGTCTCCAATGTCTACCTTCAGTTTCAAAAATACAACGATTTCTTACCCTTTAGTTAACACCTTGAGCCTCCTGAAATCCTAAAAAAAAATAAGTTTGAGGGTCTGAGCTAATTATCTCAATGTAAATTTATTTGCATGTTAAATGTTGAAAATGTACTAACAGTATAGTAACAGTAACAGTGTATCTTGCTGGTGCCTCAGCTGCTGCACTGAAAATATAAATACAGGCTAGCTAGTGTATTTATCCTCATTCATCCTCATTGCACTTGAAGTCCAGTAAACATACAGTAAACCATTCAGTATGCATAATAAAAATCCTCTTAACCACCTTCATATCCCTTTTTATGGCAGAGAGGATGGTCAATTGTGTGATGATGAATAGCTACTTGGATTAGGAGGCTAATATAGACATACTCTGTTTTGGAGGTGTATATAAATCTATAAATATATTATAAATCTACTCGGATTCACAAGTGTAATTACATGGCCCCCCTCGTATTTCGCACACTGTTGAAGTGAATTCATATATTGTTTCCATGTGTTCTCAGTTCAGTCTGTTTCCTCCACATATTATAATTCTACGGTAGCACGTCTGCCACCTGCTTATTAGTGTCAAAGAACCATAAGCCAAGGTCTCTGGATTATGTCCATCTGTAATAAACGTGATGAAGTAGGAGTGTTCATTCTCACTGGGATGAACTGCCAGGTTTTGTCTCTGGAGGCTCATGTAGTCGTAGTATGACTCACACAGACAGACACAATGAGACAGAACGTCACGCTGACTCATGGAGTGCTCATTCAGAAAATAAAAAGTAAACACATGTTGGTTGTAAAAGATGATATCATCAGAATGGATTTTAAACTTGCTGACATGTTCATTTTTGTTGTGTTTTTCTCCAAGCTAACAAACGCTGCCACCTGCATTGCCAGTCCAAGGAGACACGGGATGTGGTCTTCATGCAGAGAATGGCCCTGGACGGCACACGCTGCTCCTACAAGGACCCTCACAGTGTGTGTGTGCGTGGAGAGTGTGAGGTGAGTTACGTTATGTGTGTGTGTGTGAAAGCGAGACAGCTGCATGTGTTTCAGATCTACATGTGTTAAACTTTCCATGTCCTCATGAACAGAAAGTGGGCTGTGACGGCGTGGTCGGCTCCTCAAAGCAGGAAGACAAGTGTGGAGTGTGTGGAGGAGACAACTCCAGCTGCAAAACCTTCAAAGACACCATCACACGTACCGCCAAGAAACAAGGTAAATGCACACCAACAGTCACAGTAACCCTTATCTATATCTAGGACAGACTTGACTTAGTTCCATTATTGCAGCAGCTGTCTATCATGCTGGTAAGTGCATTATAAATAGTTGGCAAGTGTCCTTTGCTTATAGTCTGTTCTCCTCAATCTTTAGTTATCTTCAGCTAAACATTGCCCTCTAGAGGAAGATTTGTAACAGTGTCCAAACCTCAATGAGATCTGAGTTGACATGTTTCCACGTGAGTCGAGCATTGCCAAGAAGTTACGTCAAACCTCGCTCTAGCTTATATTTATTATATAACTCTTGACGTCGGGATAGACCTACATCACAGCGGCAAAATTCCCAGAATCAGATGTTTATTCTGGATGAAAATATTCACAACTTCAAGGGTTTTAACTAGTGAGCAGGGATACATGGTTCCAATGAGTGTGAGCTCTTTAGTGGATTAGCTGAGGCTCTTAGTCAGGAAACTGTAAAATGAGCTTTTGATGATGTTCGAGTCACGAACCAGATGTGTGTTTCCTTTCAGGTTTCCTCAAAGTTCTTGAAATCCCCAGAGGAGCGAGACACTTACTAATCCAAGAACTGAAAGCAACCTCACACACTTTAGGTATTTGACATTGTTTTTTGTGTATATATGATATTGTATGCAGGTGTGCTGTATAAGTATATTATAATAGGTATATTTCTTACTCATCTACAGCTGTAAAGAACGTGGCATCAGGACTCTTCTTCTTGAACGGGGAAAATGACTACCCAGAATCCCACTCCGTCATAGAGAAGGGTGTGGAATGGGAATATGAGAATGACAATGACAAGGAGACACTTCAGACCACTGGTCCTCTAAGACATGGAATTCTGATCATGGTACACATTTGAAATGAATAAAGATAGTACTGAATATGGTTATACACAAACAAACAAACAAAAAATATCAAAATGAAAATGAAATGTCAGTTATCTAAAGTTTTCTCACTTATTTTATGATGATCTTTTTGTTTGTAGATGAAACTACATGGAGATGAGGATGTAAATTTATCTTATAAGTACATGATGAACATGGACAGTGACTCTGCCATCCAGAACAACATGCTGGTAGAAGACAGTGCCTACGAGTGGGCTCCAAAGAGATGGTCCTACTGCTCCAAGCCCTGCGGTGGAGGTACAGTAGAGCAAGGAAAAGACTTGTTGTGAATCTGTTGGGTCTCTGAGATGAACTATGTGCATTTTGCATGTGTGTCTTTATGTTTCTGTGCTTACATTTTGTTACTTTTTCCGTCCCCTCTCACTGTAGGGAAACAGTACCTGCGATACGGCTGCAGAAGGAAAGTTGACAGTAAGATGGTCCACAAGAGCTTCTGTAACAAATCCAACATGAAACCAAGAGGAGACACCAGAGACTGCAACCAGAAGCCCTGCCCTCCACCCATGTATGCATTATATTGAAGGCACCAACTGTAAAAAAAATAACTTGTGAATCAAAACAAAACAGCCAGCCCCCTTTTTCCTCCTCTTTCATTGTTTACTTCAACATTTTGACATTTTGAATGCCCTTAGAACTCCTGTTTCTCTCTTTCCCGTGATGTTCTCCAGTTGGGTGACAGGGGAGTGGCAAAACTGCAGCAAACCATGTGGAAAGACAGGGATGCAAATCCGCTCGGTCAGCTGTGTCCAGCCGTCAGATGACAACACCACACGCTCCATCCACAATAAACACTGCAACGACAACCGGCCCGAGACTCGCAGACCCTGCAACAGACACTCCTGCCCCACCCAGTGGAGAGTCGGACCGTGGTCACAGGTATGCAGGCTGAACGGGAAGCAGAACTCGGACAGAAAAATGGAAAATAATATTTGGCCGATTTGCAGGGAAATACTTGTACTGATATTTTTGTATTAAAGCCCAACAGCTGGTATATTGGTAAGACATTCTGTGTTTTAAATAACACAAGACTTTCTCAGAACTGTATTCTTGGCAGGCTTGGCAAGCATCTGAGAAAGAGATCATGTGATCATCACTGTTACTACTTACAGTAAACCAAAGATAATGAAGACAAAACATGTTCATGTACTTCCTTGCCTTTGTGCTTTACATTTTCTGAACTTGAGAAAATGTTATGTCCACATTTTCCAAGTCATTTGATATAATATGTTTGCATCCATTTCCTTTATCTCCAGTGCTCAGTGACATGTGGGAATGGAACCCAGCAGAGGCAGGCTCTGTGCCACACCAGAGACAACACCATTGGCCTGTGTCTGGACAGTAAGCCTGACACCATCAGAGTCTGTCGCCTGGATCCATGTCCCAGTGAGTGTTAAGGAATCTCTAGATTGTTTTAGCAATATCACCATGTTTTCCAATTTCAGTGATCATTTGTTAAAAACTGAAATCAGTACAGAAAAAAGGAGTTTCCTTACCACCCTAACTACTTCATCGGTCTGTCCTCTTTTCTCTGCAGAGGGCTCATCAGACCTCAACAAGAACGGCAACATCCTGATCCAGTGGCTGTCTCGCCCCAACCCCAACTTCCCGAAGATCTCCTCACGTAAAACCTCCCTCTATAGTTCCCAGCCTGGTCTCCACAGCGGCAGCCGCAGCTGCATGTCTGTCCTCTGCTGGGCCCTGCCCATCTCTGTCCTCCTGTCTCTGCAGGGCCGGCCCCGGCTGGCCCCCTGACCCGCCCCTCCCCCAAGCCCCGTGCCTGTGCCCACGCCCATGAGCGAGCGGCAAAGCTTTCGCTTCTCTTTTGGGGGGGGGATGTTGCCTCTCTCTCTCTGTGTCTGAGATGGCTCTGACTGGGGGGGAGGTCTCTGGCTCCTGTGTGTGCTAGTTGGTTCTCTCTTGCTCTGTCTCTCTCTCTCTATCTCTCTCTCTCTCCTTTGTGGAGCATTGTGTTGTAACCGCTGGCCAGTCGAAAACTCAAAAGATCAACAAAAAAATTGATGTGAAAAGGATTCGAAGTGGCAAGGCGAACAGGTTTTCATTGGCACCTCCTGAGACGTGTCGAAGAGCCGTTCATGTGTGAGGGACCCCCCTCTGCATTTGGCGGCCATGTTTTGCGCGAGCTAGCTGCGTGTTGTCATGGGTTACCACTTCAGAGATGCAGTTGCGCTTTTTTCTTTTTGTAGCGCACTGTCATTGTGGGGAGAAACAGGTGTGAAAATAAACAGAAAAGGTATATAAATATCTATATAGAAAAAAGTTATAAAAAAATATGAAAGCTTTATTGTGAATGTGATCTTGTCACAATGAGGACATCTTTGCTAAAGTGCTCATCCGACATCCTGGTTCCATTCGGGGATGAGAATGGCGTCTCATTCTACGTTCCATTCTCAGATTGACAGGAACTCAGCACAGGGACAGGAAGTGACATCAGTAAACCTTTTGATTTTTTGGGGGAGGGAACTGTGAGGTGAAAAATCTTGAAGTAAAGGATAATTAAAAAAAAAAAAAAAAAACAGGGTAGTCTGACCGCTTGAGGTTGCTTCCCATTTCACCTCATCATCAGCCATCCTCTCTTTGACTGTTATACTAAAGTTCAATAAATGCAGCTTATTTGTGCTTGCAGACTTTAAACAAATACATCTATAAATATATTTGTATTTATATATACCTATAAATCTAAATCTATATGAGTAACAATAATATTAATAATGTTTTACCATGAATAAGCTGTAGCTTATTTGCCTAAAACCTTTGGACTGCTATTGATCGCTTAGATCCTTGACTGTTATGTGTATTTTTTTATTGATTTTACATAAATACAGATAAATATTTAATAAAGGTAAAGTGTTTCGGGGGAAGGGGTTAGACCTATATTATGCAGGACTTGGTCAGTTAGTTGCCTCTCCATTCTCTCAGATGGATCAGTGGTTTACTGTCGCTTCTTGTTTTCTTTAAGGATAGGATCACGTTTTGTCATGCACATTTGCATCCATCACCTGTATGCATGTGTATATATGTGTGTGAGTGCATCTGTGTGTGTGTCTATGTGTATATGTGCATGGATGCATGTGTGTCTTGTGTGTAAGCTAAGATGAGTGAGTTAGTAAATGAATATATGTCTGAGAGATATATTAGTCTTGTCAGCGAAAGTGCGTCTGTGTGGTTGTCTTTGCATGTGTGTGTGTGTGTGTGTGTGTGTGTGTGTGTGTGTGTGTGTGTTTGCATGTGTATGTGCGTAAGGAAGCTTCATCATTCGGGCTTTTACACATCGCGATCAGATACAGAAATACCTCATAAACTTTGATTTGAGAGCGTCCGATGATCTCATTTTATTTTGATGAACATTAACCACATGAACAATGCCTTATCTTGGATTGAATGTAATGGCATTTATCTGTGAAAGAGATGGCTTTACTCATTCAAAGTTTCACTCGGAATAGAGGCAGCTTCAAACCAACTTAACAAACTCACACCCGCCAACCATCAAACCTACCAAGGTGATGTTGGACCATTGTCCGACTACTGGGAAGGGTTTACAAAGGGCCTAGGGTATCGACACATATGGCATCTAGAAAAAAAAAAAAACACTTCAGACTTGTCATTGTATTGTGATCACATATTTCTGTTGTGACTATGTAGCGAGCTATCCAAGGTTTCCTTCTGCTGGAGTTGGACTGTATGAGACCAAGCCAGACCTAGCAGTGCGACTGTATATAACATTGGTGTTGACTGTATTTAATAATGTTCATGACTGTTATCTTCTTCTATAATATTCTATACTATGGGTAACTGTTTTGTGGCTTCACTGGCCTGCTGCGTGGGGCTGGCAAACGTTTGGCTAACGTTGAAGAAACATTCAGATGGACTACGTGCACTGCGTCTATATGCACTTTGATTTATCAGGGAAATTTTATTAATGTTTTGTAAATGTTTCATATGACACTTAATGTGCCATTCCAGTTTTTACATCATCATGGAAATTATGTATTTTATTTAAACAGCCCATATAATTTATGTACTTCATGTTTTTTTTTCAATCGATAAACAGATTGACTGGTTGATTTCCAAGTAATGAAGTGTTTTACCAAAGTGACTGTGAACTTGTAACTTTCGATACAGTTGAATTATTTTTCTTAAGAAAAGAATATATCTATATATTGAGCAGGGGGGGCGTACATCTCATTGTTTCAGTTACTGTCATTCTCAACAGCAAAGTTGTATCAATAAAAATGTTTTAAAAAGTGTGATCTTTCTCTCACCAGGAATGTTCACTGGCTAGATTCTTTGTCAGAGAGAATGTCAAACATTGCCAGGCATGGTACAAAAAGGGTACAAGTCAAGTAGTACAGGATTCAAATAGAAAAATGATGCGCACCTGAGGGAAAGGAAACACAGAGATGCATGAGGAAGTGTCAAAAAAAGATATCAGATGTTTTAGATGAACATGAAACAACACAAGACTGGCGACCCTTCTTTTTCCATTTCAGTTGCTCTGGACTAATCTCATGACTGCTCTTGATGTTTGGGTTTTTCTCCTCTTCCTTCCTGCATCCTCTGCTAATGGTCTGGCTTTACTACTGTACTCTGCACGGTGTGGAACCAACACACACACTCACACACACACACGTATGCATGTACTTTATGTATGAACAAACATGCACACAAAGACTAACGCTAATGTAAAGACATATATCACAGCAATCAGACAAACACACACTTCTTCATAGTCTCGACTCCTGGCTGTGCCCAGTCTCAGCTCTCTGTTCTCTCCTTCACAGGCCAGCGTTGTCATGGAGACCGCTCAATGTTCTGTCGTATGGAGGTGCTGAAGCGCTACTGCTCTCTACCGGACTTCCAGCGCATGTGCTGCAAATCCTGCAGCAATGTCACCATCACCGAGCTTCTATCCAACTCCACCTCCAGATCCACCCCCATCACCTCCATCCGTCCCAGTGTAACAGCTCTTCCACCCACCAGCACCTTTAGCTCTGGCTTCACCACCATCCAACCCACCACAGCTGTCATTGCCACCATTTCAGCTTCTACTATCAATGCCAGGACCACCACTCATCTTCCTACCTTCACCACTGCTGCTCTTCATTTCACTCCTTCCACACTAAGTGCTACACAAATTATCACCACTCCAGCTGCCACCAGTGCTCCTGTCCTCCCCACTACCTTTTCCATGGCAACCACTTCAGTTATTACAACCTCCCCCAGTGTTATTGTTCGTCCTCTGCCTCTGCCTGCCCCAGACATAAACGAGAACACAGATCCACAGTTACAGAGCACTACAAATAGTCCAACAACATCTGGTATGATAACTACTGTACACCTTCCAGCAACTACCCGTCCAACTATGACAAATCCAACAGAAAGCAGTACAAAAACCCTGCTAAAATCCAAGCCCAAAAAGAATATTCTGCCAAAGAAAAAGCCCAAAAAGGTGATTCCACCAAAGCTCAATCCAAAAAAGAATACTGCGCTAAAAAATACAACAAGAAAAGATGTTCCACCAAAGATCAATCCCAAAAAGAAAGCAAACACTACTCCCAAAAAGACTACTCCACCAAACACTACTCCCAAAAAGACTACTCCGGCAAAAACCACTCCCAAAAAGACTACTCCGGCAAAAACCACTCCCAAAAAGACTACTCCGGCAAACACTACTCCCAAAAAGACTACTCCGTCAAAAACCACTCCCAAAAAGACTACTCCGGCAAACACTACTCCCAAAAAGACTACTCCGGCAAAAACCACTCCCAAAAAGACTACTCCAGCTAAAAATACTCCCAAAAAGACTACTCCAGCTAAAAATACTCCCAAAAAGACTCCCCCTATAAAGGCCACTCTTAAAAAGACTACTCCTGAGAAAAAAACCAAACCCACACCCAAAAAGGAGGCTCCACCAAAGGCCAATCCCAAAAAGAACACTAATCCAAATACGAAAGTTACAAAGCAAACACAAACAAAGACAAATCCTCAAAAGAAACCAAAACCAGGGCCCAAAAATGCCATAAACACTCAGGCAAAAAAGATTAATCCAAAAAAGAAAACACTTAAAATGTCATTATATTATACTACAGCTCCCACTCCATATACAAGTCCAGAACAACTGAGAGAGCCCTTTTCTTCCACTATCTCATCCAGCACTAGTGTGGACGTGACTGCTTCAGGCATGCCTTTGCCAGAGTCCAGAATCAATGTCACGTACATCAGTAACAACACAGCAACTACAGATGAAACCCCACTGTGGTATCATGATACTTTAGCCACAACACCCACCACTTCTGATGATCTTGTAGCTCCAACTGGAACCATTCATTTTGAAGATGTTAACATGCATAGTGGAACTAGGCCGTATAGTGATGTCACAATGACGAGCAGCGGTGATGTCACAGTAACCAGTGGGACCATTCTAAGTGGCGATGACATCACAGTATCCTACAGCAATGTGGGAGTCATCAGTGACACCATGGTGCTGGACGACGGTCTCATCATGGTGATCCCGACCATCAACAGTGAGGACATGACAGACCTTGCTTCCTCACCCTGGCTGGACTTGTCTGAGTACATCCCCGTGAGCATCTCAGTTCCCACGACGACCTCAGACCCCGCCACAGCCTCACCTCCTGCCACCGTCACTCCGACAACAGAAAAACCAGCCATCGCAACCATCACCACCTCTACTGTAAGACCTCAGCGAAGACCAGAGACCAGTGAGAACAACTCCATCGACGTAATATACAACAGGATCATTGGCGTGGACAACGATATCTCCCAGAACAATCTGATCCCAAAGCGTCGGGTCAACCTCCGAGAGAGAACCAGGAACAAACGCATTCAGGAGCTTCTGGAGGAGAAGCGGAACTTTCTCCTCAGGATGAAGAGAGGCCATGCAGTATGATGGACCAAGCCTTCTCATTTCTCTTATAGAGATGAATGTTTTTATTTTACAGACTTTTGTAAGCCCTGTTTAAGCCCCTCTGACCTGCCATGATGCTTTCTATCAGGCCTTTCCACAAAAAAACAACTACAAACTCTCTGTCATATCACTATCATGACAATCAGGACTGTTGCAGAGAGAGAATATCATGGCCAAATGTTTGAACAGTTGCTTTGAATAAAGAAAAGCCCTTTAGAGTACAGACTGGTGCGGATTTGAAGCAAATTGCCTTGCCTGTGTAAACACAATAATGAGAAACAGAAGGGATGAAAAGTGTGCATCCAGTTTGACCAGCACTTTACAAAGCCATGCTTCTATCCCCCAAACCACCCACAGTCTTGTTTGAGGATTCAGTAATGATGTAGATAAGGCGTAATGTAGTTTGTAAAATCATATTATCCCTACTGGCACTTATGGAGCAACAAAATCTACCACCTAGAATCCAAATCCACATCTCCATATTATATTACAGCCCAGGACTGCAGCTTATTTCCCCACAAACACATATTAATACCTCTCAGCTCCCACTGTAGGACAAGATAAAAATGTCTCCTTTTTAAGTGGCCAGCACTCTAAATACCCTATACACACTGCAGATTGGAGCTTCTGGAGGCCTGAAAGCTCTATGGTAATGTTATACAATCAGAAAGTAAAAGTTTCCTTTTGGTTTAATTAAATTGTGGAAGTTTACACTGCTTGGACTGTGTTGCCTTTTCCAAAGCAAACGTCTGTCTGACTGCATGGCATCTCTCATCTCTCAGGAAGTTACGATACAGAATGGAAGACTGGTGAGGGACAAACACTTGGTGCTTCCTGAATTGTGATGATATATTTTAATATCTCATTAAGCCAGGTGAAAAAATAGAATAACTTAACAGAAACATTTGATTGCATTTTTCTTTCCTTTTTTGTAACAGTGGGTCAAGTATGGTGCTTTTTTTTATCAGTGTTGCTATAAGCAATACCATTCATTTATGTATAAAAAAACCCACAAAAATATAATAAATAAAATAAACAAGCCTGTTTGTATTAACTGTATCCAAGGAGACTCTTTGAGGGCCAGTTTATTTTATTTTCTAAAAGTTTTATTATTGGTACATCTCTAACTTGCAGCAGCTGCAAAAGTACCTATGGATCTTTCTGTACGATATCTGTACATATGAAAAAGAACTTAATGTTTAATATTTATTAAAGTTTAAGTGCCTGTGGTATTTTGCAGACTGTCAGTGTTGTGTGACTTTTGTTCCAGTTAGAGTTGTCATGCTGCCCTTCTTTATCTTTTTGGTGCACCACGTGTTATGTCACTCAATCAATCCTAAATAAAAAGAAATGTAGGTCACAGCTACTGTGAGCCTCACTGCTGCATCAGTTCTAACCCAGTCATATAAGAATTAACTCAGTTTGAGTCAGTCCATCGTCTAATTATCAATAGCATGCTTACAAGCTTTTACTGAGTCTATATTTAGCTCCCAGTTGCACAGTAGTACAATATCAGACACATAGGGGGAGACATAGAACTTGTATTCATGTTCACTGGCTTCATTTTTGTGCTTACGTAAGCCACAAACCTTTTTATGGCCTCTTTTTACCTTGACAGATTTAGAATATCAGATTCATAGCACGACTGTATTTCAATTGATGTCATTTCCAAAATAAAATGTCACTGATTGTTAAAAGTGAGTCCAGTAAAGATATGCTCAGTCACTTAATTGTTGATGGAGCAGCTCCAGAGGACAAAATATCTGACTTCATTAGGGTCGTTCTCACCTGTGGAAAGATTTAGACCAGGAAAGGACTTGCCTAAATCCGTTTCATGGGAAATGCATACAATAGTGATTTGATTTGCTTCTGAAGCAGCATGTAGCTATTGATTCATATTTGTTTTAATATAATTTTTCTTTAATTTGAGTACTGAGAGATTCCATTCACCTCTTTTTTGTGTTGGGGTTGGAAGATATTCAAAATCTTTGCAAATAAAACACAAACTGCAGGGTTAGATATGCTTGGGGTAAGAGGGAAACTGTGTATGTATGTGTTTGTGCGGTTCTGTTTTGGGTGAACTGACCCTTTAGATGAGCCCCAGGATAGCCTATTTTTATTAGCAGAAATCAGTCGTAAACACATTCAGTGTGATTTCCTGCTCTTGCTCTAAGATTAGGCTCAGCATCATTGCATGTGGTTATACTCACAGATCAATTTGTGAAAAATGTTGAGTCACTCCATTGGCCTATTGACAGTAAAACATTGAGAGAAAAACACACGAGGAGCATCAATTTGTGATTTCCTAGATATGCAAGACTTGATATTTACCCATAACTGTTTACATCTTTCATAAGCCAATCAGTTTTTTTTTTAAGTTGGTTGTTTTCCAACGCTGGCTACAACTGACCTCTGTAAAGTGTCCTCAATGATCTTGTTACCGTCATTAAAGCCACTGTGTCTCTCAATACCTCTAAACAACATGACTGGCAACAGAATATTAGATTACTCATAAATTCTTGTCAGGAACGGTGTGCAGAAAATTAGGACTGCATGGTCAATAATGATAACTATCAGTTTGCATTTTTGACCCTGGGGGGGAAACAAAAAGTGTTGTGTACTCCAAATAATACTGGAAAAGAAATGACTAAGGTCTTAACATTTGCACCCACAAAAGTTCAGCTGATACTTGGGGGAAACTGTCTAAAATACAGAGGGGTATTTGTGTAATGTAGGGGACATATTCAATATTTGCTGACATTTGAGTCAAGTGCTCAGCTTGTTACTTTATTCAGACTAATTATGTTGGATTAGAATGATACATAAATGAAAAGGCCATTTTGAAAGTTGTACATAGCTCAAAGCAAATTCATAAAAATACACAAGTAGAGAAATATGCATGGGATCTATTCTTTGTGTGATATTATCATAAACAATCTTTTTCTGGTCTTGTGAGATAAATTGGATCCTCGTCTTATGAAATCAGGTTTGTCTTGTTTACTTCTTAAGACCCTGATGCAACTGGTTTCTCCTGACTAATTTTGGATTACTTACCCCTTGTGCTTCACACTAATACTCACAGAAGGTGTCAATTAAAAGGTACAATAAGAGAGTACATCAGTCTAATGAAATCCACTAGCCCTGCAATCAGTGCCGCCATGGTGAATCTCTATTACTGAGGCTGTGAGAAAAGTGCTGAACCAATTATGTTGATATTTTTAGGCAATACTTTGCAGTTCTGTTGCAATGGATAAAATTAAATGTATTGCCATGTGATTGTGTTTACTGTAACAACATCATATTGTAACATGCTCATCCACTTTGATTTAATTTTTTTGCTAAAAATATTTCAAAACAACTCTTGAGGAAACTCCCCTCTCTGCCTTTCAGAGGATGACCATTTCTCAGAATCCCTCTGGCAGATGGCAGCTCAGTTGTGAAAATCAATAACAGGGCTCCACAATTAAAGCCTTTCCATTTATCCATCCTTCAACTGTGTCTACCGCTCTCTATACCTACACACTGAAGCTTTTATCAGACTTAAAACATAAGCATCCTCATGTATCAATCTAATTATTCTTGAACCCATTAGTGGAGGAGAACTGAACAGGACTTATTCCTCCTCTTTTGCCTTTTTTTTAATAAAAAGATGCCATTTCTGAAATTATTGTGTATATATATATCTTTCCCCTAAATTTGCAGTATTGTTGAAATATATGTAGACATTGTATGTCACTGGGATGAACTGCTCAAACATTATCACTGCACTCTGTGATGAGATGGAATTTGATGTTGGAAGAGTATTAAATCTTGATTTCATGGCAGCTACAGAACAGTAGGCCTCTTTCACAACAGACATTTTAATATGTGAGAGTAGGAGTATATAATCAAATGAATGATGGATGAAATTCATTTAGCATTACATTTTCAGGGTCCTAGTATTGTGCATCCTGGCTCACTGTCACACTCACTGGGATACTATAATAGTCATTAATATTTTTAATATTATTTTGTATTAATAATTATAAGTAACACCTGTGCTTTTCCTGCTCTGGTATATCCAAATATCTGCTGTGAAAATAACCTGTTTGTGTGTTAAACCAGTATAAAGAAAATACACAATTGTTAATCGTTGGCACTTTAAATGTAATTGTCCAAGAATATGACTTTACATTGGCTAATATACACAAACTCATCAGTGTTAGGCTCTGGGTTGGTGTTCAGCTGAGAGCCATTAAAAAGCAACTCAGCCCGTCCTTTAATATGCTTGCTGATAAGACAGCTATTTCCCTTTTAACAATGCCAGCATAACTGGTGTTTAAGCTTGTGTTTGTTGTTTCTTTCATGAATGTACATCCTGCCGTTTTATTTAAGACTCCAGCCTTGTGGTCTGATGTTGTGCCAGGTGTTTGTCATTAGCAGAATGCACACTGATGAATGCAGTCAGTGTGGTCCCCGTGATTCTGTTGAATGTTTAACTGAGCAACGACACGTGCCGTGGTGTGCATGCGTGTGTGTCTTAGAGGCAAATTTAGTTCCTTGTGACTAGTCCATTAGAGATCCCTAAAAAGTCAGGAATCTTTTTATAGGTTGGATGCAAAGAAAATGAGACTCATCTGACTCATCAGAGCTCCTGCTGCCCCCGACACACACACACACACACACGCACACAAACGCACACATGGAAACAGTCCATTAAAGTCTCATCCCCAGACACAGGGCAGCATGTTGAAGAGTCTAAAGCAGTTTTTTTTTTATTCCTGTTTATAAACCCTCTGGTGAGCAGTCCTGTGATCCTACACAAAAAAATACACCATGTAAAATATTGATAATAATGAATCACATCACAAATATATTCAAATGCACATTTTTATTTGTCTAATAAAAATATCCTTGTTGAAATTAATTATTACAAATGTTATGTCTTTGTTTACAACCTCATGACGCCTGAATCTCACAAAATGTCATATGCCCTCGAAACCACTTACGCCATAAGTGTCAGAGAAACAAGCTTCTCAATGGAAAAGAAAATCAATTCCATTTTAAACAGTAGTCAAAATCTGAGCTGTGTAAATAAAAAGCATTGCCTTCATCCAACCACCTGCTGCCCCAGTTTTTATTATCAAATCTCTCACAAATAACAGCCAATTCTACCACAAAGCTGCCCAGTGGATACTCTTTATGTTTATGTAACTGCCTCTTTACTCCTGCCCCAAATCCTCAAAAATAGGTTCTAGAAATTGTCCAGTTTGGTACTAGCTGAAATGCTTGTTTGGGGGTAAATTATCTGCTTATTAATTGCTTCTAAATGCATTCTTTGCCCTAAATTTCTCAATGGGATTCAAGTCTTAGTTTACATGAACTGGAGTCTAGAGGACCAACATTACTTCAGTCGCCTACATCATAACAGTTTGTAAAAGATCAAACAAGTTCAAAGTGTCTTACAGATTTTAAAGTAAATGCCTGAGAAATTCATCAAACAGAGGGAGATTGTTCTTCCTAAGGTCAGTGGTCCTGTGATCTCAGCTATGCGCGCACGCGCACACACACACACACACACACACACACACACACACACACACACACACACACACACACACACACACACACACACACACAGATGAAATTTGAAGCAGATTACGTGCTTCAAACAATTACGGTCCAACATGTTTACAACAGCTCCACAGTATGTAGATTTATTGTCACAACGCATCATATATTTTGGTAGATTTCTCAAAATTACAGGGGGTGACTGTATTCACTTAGTCAGTCATTTCTTGAAATAGCATGTCTTGAAAAACTGAAGCAAAAATAAACCTCCATCTCCTTTCCTGCCTCTGTTTTTCTGTTTTGTTTTTCCCTGTCTCCTCTTTCTCTCTCACTCTCATCACCTTACTCTCTCTATCCATTTAGTCTCTCTCTCTTTCTTTCTCTTCCCTCTTTCTCTGCTTCTGTTTTTCTCTCTCCATCAATACAGTCGGCCAATGACAGTGCCGTGGCTGAGGAAATGGATGGTGTGTCTATTTTTAGAACCAGGGAAGGAGGGCAAACCAAAAGTAAGCTGGGGAGAGAGAAGGAGGGAGGGAGGAGGGATGTGAGGAGAAGATAAATCTGCATTCTACTGCTGCCTCTGGTCAGAGTCAGTTGGAGCCACTGAGTGCGCTCAAGGAGAAGCAGCATCCCTGGTTGGAGACACAGCATCATAAATTAAAAACATATTCAGCTGCAAAAAGGCTGCAGACTGATATTCGAGATTGGAAGAGCAGAGAAAAGAAGAAAAGACCAGCTGGACTCGACAAAGACAAAGGTAAGTGGGAAAGCAAATTGTGCAGAAAAACCTTGCATAATTACTGAAAATGCATGAGGTGGAAATACACAGGGTGCCTATTCTGTGCTTCAGCCCAGAGCTGCTGCCGTGGAACCATTTTTAGCTGCTGTATACCGAAGGTGTGGTCTAAATTTAGCAATGGCTACACCTTGGAAGAAACTAGGAGAGGCTGGCATTTTGGTTTGGCTTGCACTATTTTTGGCATGGAGGTTGGGACTAAAATATATTGTGGGCTACTTTCAGGGTTATAACAATATGGGGTTACATAAGAAAACACAAGCTGACACATTCTGTGGCTCTACATGACTGAGGTGCCTTTTAAAATAGTAATCTATTTATGTTGCCTCTTGCTGCTCCTTGCTGGGATTGTTTGTATTTTGGGCTGTTTGCACTGCCACTCCAAAGTAAGCAAAGAAGAGGTGAGGAGGAGGAGAGGAAGGCTTGTATGTGTATTAAATTTGATTGATACAGTCATGGACAAAAATAGATGCTTGTGTTTTGAATTGCTACCAGCTACTAACAGTTATTTATTATGGGAACAATGTCCACATCTAAAATTATGTCATCGGAAAGAACAACACACAAAGGACAGAAAACAAACAGATAACACATCAAAATATGTGTTTTTGTCTGCTATTGGATACACAATAGAGTGCAAGAACATGTTACAAATGTTACATCTTCAGTTATAAATCCTAGAAATGCTGTTTTCTTGGGTGGATAGAGAGCACAGATGTGGTGATAAATAATACAGCAGAACCTGACAGTAAATACCTTTATTGCACCTGGTCAAATCACATAATCATTTCAATTTGAGCACTATCAGCAGTTCATGGTCCACTGTGATTACCACATCCACTGTGTTTAAATTGGCTTTTGCAAGAATAACATCAAAAGATAAAGTGAATTTACTGTAAAGCTGAAGACAAATCAGAAGCAAATGGCTTTCTTTGCTCACACACACACACACACACACACACACACACACACACACACACACACACACACACACACACACAGATTTTGACTCTAAACATGACCTTCTTCCTGTTCTTTCTCTCAGCCATGCGGCCGCGGTCCAAACTGCTATCCAAGAGAAGACTCCTGCTGCCCACAATCAGAGAGGGCACAGAGGAGACGGTGAAGGATTTGAATGAGGCCAACACACTTCACATTGCTGGCCACGACCAGGCTGTCTCCTCAGAGGACTACCTCCTCTCCATCTGCCACCTAGCCCACCCCACCTTCCCCACCAGGGAGGTTTCCCCCAATAACATCAACGCACGGCAGCTGGATGCTGCTCACCAGAGGCTGCGTCTGTCACGGCTCAGTGGGACGCCATCAAGCACCTTTGAATTCACCCCCACAGAGGAGGCACATGGTATCGATATCGAGGGAGAAGGGAAACAACTGGATGATGAGTTCATGTATGGCAACTCTGATCCCCTGGAATATCTTTACGGACACCAGAATGACCTCTCAGGAGGTGTGAGGAGGGCATTTGTTGAGGGAAGGTTTATAAGGCAACGTGGGAGCATTTGGGAGGGTCAGGCTCGCTCCAGAGCTCAGAGCATCCCCCGTGCTTTAAGTCCTGACCTCCCATGCCAACGCAAGAGCAGTTGCCCCGACTTACACACCAGCACAAACACTCCTATTCCAAACACCTCCCCTAAACACTGCTTGTCCAGGTTGGAGGCCAGGACAGGGAGCCCGGCAGACAGAGAGGCAGAGGGGGTGAGACAGAATCCAACCGTCAAACCATCCCTCATCTCTCAGTGGATCTCTGACTGCAGGTTAGCGTGGAGGGAGGCACATGTGCGAGCCTGCATGCTGCCTGCCATTGCTGAGATACAGGGCGCAAATGGACAGACATTGTAATAGAATGATATCCCTAAGTAAAGTATCCCAATCTTGTCAGTGCATGACACATTGACGTTAGGAGATATGTAGCTGTGTATTATGCATATATATATTTATATATATATAAAGGATATGATTAAATACACATTGAATCATACAGAGGCAAATAAATATTGCCACGATTGTCCATCTGTAATGTTATATCAATACTATCTATGCTTGATGTATGCTGGTGATCATACAATATCATGAAAACAGACAAATCTGCAAAATCTTTTTTTACCTTCCAGTGTTTTGTGAACTAAGTCTGAATCAATTAAACATTTTTTTGATACTCTCAATAAAACTGCCTGATTTCTTTTCTATGTGCCATGATCAGTGTTTTCTTGCATGTGTAAATCCTTTGAAACTGAACTCCACTCTCAGCTCTGCTGGTACAAGGCGCTGGAGTTTCTATGGTAACTGTCGTGGGATCCTGCTCTGGTAAACAGTGTGGAGAAACACAGGCTGAGAGGAGATGACACCACTGAACCTAAACATGCAAGACTGCATGGACTGCACGGTTGCTGTACTGGTGCGACTACATCGTCTGTCACAATCATAAGCAGGTAAACTGTAGGATAATGAGCTGACTCGTGAAGTAACTACTTCACATGAAAACATTTAATCATCACAAAGAGAATTTTGTTGTGGAAAGAAAAAATATTGGCTGTGATTAATAAGAACTGTTTTTATCTGAGTATAAGTTTAACCAGACAACGCACTTCAAATACATAAAGCAACCACTGGATGTAGTTTTGACTCTTAAACACTAGAGTGCAGGCTTATGTCATTCACTGCTTTGCATAATGACATTTTGTAACCTCAAATCAAGCCATGGCAGGTGACAAAATACATATTTAATTGAAAACTGGAACATCAGTGGTTGTGGTAAAAGTGTCAGTTTATCAAAATAACCATAATAAAAACATATTCCTCTTGGTATTAATCCATGCAATTAGTCCTGGTTTTATTTTTATACATCTTCCTCCATCCCAGTACAATGAAGGTAAATCAAATTTTGTTTGTGCTGATTAAAAGCTCAAAAAAAGAGAGCAGAGACAATGTGATTCATACAGTGAGAACAGTTTTGATTGGAGCTACTTTCTTTTTTATCATCCCTTGTTCCTTGTGTGGTCTGGGGATTATAGTAACAGGGACACTGTTTCTGGTAAGTGATGCTGCTGCTGCTTGCTGTTTCAAATATAAATGTTTTATTCTATGAGCATCATGATGCCATTCACTTGCTTTGAATTGGGGGTCTTCAAGACAGATATCACAAAGCCTACAAGGCCAAAACAAACTCCAAGATTAAAAACAGCACAGTAAGTGGTAAAATAAGTTGCCTGTATTTTGGGTAAATTTACCAGCATCAAAACCAATTGCTGATTAGTAAACACTGAGACGTGGAAATAAAGTGGAGGAAACGTCAGAATGAAGGGGGGAAACATACACCGCACTGATGGTTCACCACCTTCACTGTCACAGGAACATAGTCGTTTAGGGGCTGGAAGATCTCGAACACTCTCTGTTTCTTTTCACACTTATCTCAGCATACCCCATTGAAAGGTGAGGTCTATTTTTACCCGTCAGACAGTTAGTCAAGACAGTTAATGCCACATCAGTATACATTGTACATTCAGACATTTTCACACATTTTTCTGCAGGTTGTTTCAGGCAAACAAAGCAACTGTCTTATTCTTGGATGATTCCCCTTGTGAGGTTCATTACTATTACTTTTCTGCCTCTGAGGCAACAAAAAACCCATTGTTATTTGTAAAACATAATTCTTACCTTCAGTTATAATGTATTTGAAAATCGTCTTAAAAAATTTAAAATATGGGACCTTCAACAAATAAAGAACCGGCTTGACTGTCCTGTCAGGGGAATCGACCACACTTAGGAACCACACAAAAGGAACCGTTTCTTTAAACTGTCAAATGGAACTAATGTGTACCCTTTTGACCTTCACCATCAACTCTCTGAGAGAAACTCCGCTCTCTCTGCACAACAACCTGAGGCAATGGGTCACTTAAGGAACAATGCAGAGTTGTTTATGTATGATGAAACTCCACAAGTCTAGAGAAGAGTCCACTTCACTTATCTGTATAAAATAATATACAGGCTGGTCTCAGTTTGTGTATTTAACCAATCAGGATTTGCAATGCAATACTTCTGTTTCTCAGAAATGTCCTGACCCCTAGTGGAAACCACTGGACTAAACTACTTAACTGAAGTAGTTAAATTATCTCTGGCAGATAAAGCAATAAAATGCTACTTTCAAATTGATGCATCAGTATTAACAGCTAACAATACTTTGACTTAAACAGGAGGTTGGAGTAGGTAGGAGTTGAATTCAAGACTTTTACTGGAGTAATTTAACATTGTTGTATTACTGAAGTTAAGAATCTGAGTACTACTTCCACCACGGATTTTGTGTATGTTTTCAGTCTAGCTTTTGCACTGTAACAGTATTTCCTTATAGAGTTACTGATAATCATAGAAATCACTTTTAAACCGAATTGAGAAGTGAAACTACACGAGGATGTAAACCCCACATTGGTAGAGGAAGAGACTCTGCTGACGTTATTAGTTCCTGTTGGTTCATACACATGGTCACATTTTGTGGTGTGGGGTTTTGGTGAAGAGCTAAACTATTCACGAAAAGGAAAAATGAATTATTAAAGATATTTATGGTTGGTAACCCCCCACATATCCAAACCCACACAGCTAATAGGGCAAATGCAAAAAAAAACTATTTTCCATCTACCATGCTGGTCATATGTACACAGCCACTGAAAGCTGGACCGCAGTGTCACCTCTTTTTGTCCCTGTGCCTGTCAAAGTGTATGAAGGAACAAGCTGTACTCTACTGACACGAGCTGGTGCACTCCACCATCCCCAATAAGTAAAATCCATGAATTATTAACTACAGGGAAATATAAAACATTCAAGCTTGCTAAGTGCAGCCTGTCTGTCGGAGTAAAAATGGAGTTCAGCAGAGGTGGCGGGGTACTGTACCACTGCAGACACCTGCGTCCTTACCTAATCCCCCGGTAATGTCAACCAGAGCTTGTGATATGACTCACAGTTTTCTACACTCCTACTTATTTTTGTTGTGTGTTGGTACAGGTCTGGATTTAATTTGTGTTATAAGCCCTTTTTTGTGACAGTAGTTTTAGAGAAGTCACTCTGATGATCATTATTTTGTCTTTACATAATGGGTGAAAGTCCCTTTCACTGCTCTTTAACGTTGGGGAAGACCCCTGTGTCTTAAATTAGAACAATTTGGCTTTGACAGATTTCGGAATGCCACAAACTTTTTTTCAAGGTTAAGAAATGTGTTTCCATAAAAACTACATTTTAACTATAAACCAATTTTCAAGTCCAGACATGAAACAGTAACAGTGCAACTGGTGAATTTAAAGTTACATTGTTGGATTACATGTTCCCACACCTTTCAAGACCCACTGGATTGTCTTAAAAAATACCCTGTCAATTCATCCATATCAGAAAATAACCTATTTTCACCCTTACCTCTGTTGTTTTCTGGCAATGCATACTTTTGGTTTTACTTAACCAGGTTTTGAGATATCAATCACACCACCAAGGAGATAGATATCTCACAACCTGGGCATGTGGAACCAGAACTTTCAGCATGACTAGAAACCATTGTTTTTCTTTACTCATTTTTGTAGTTTGTGTGAATCACCCCCATAAAACAAGCATGTTTCTGAAAGTTTGGGGGATATGTGGCTTTCACAGGACACAACCCTGTGACAACATTGCAGTCACTTTCCTTTGCCTTTAGGGTCCTTTTATCATTCTTTTTCATGCTTACATGTTCCCTAATTTGTTATTACAAATGGTATAGCACATTACAGAAAAGTAGGACTAAAATAGGAACACTATTTTTCACACTTCATCCTCCTTTTGTTTCATTCTATCTGATGGCACGCAGCAAAGGGCCGCAGGTCGAATTCGAACCCTGGGCCGCTGCAGCAAGGACTCAGCCTCGGCACATGGGTCGCCAGCTCCACCCACTGAGCTAACCGGGGACCCTTTCATTCTATCTTTGTGACCAAAATACAGAAGAAAAAAGAAGGATATCAGAAATAGAGAAGGAACGTTGTGATGGGATTTTACATTGTCCAGAAAAGTGAAAGAGGACATAAGAGTGAAACTTTAGACCATGCTTTCTGCAGAAACCAAACATTTCCTTTCAAGCCCATGACCTAGGAGGGCATATCATGTTGTGTTAGATGTTAGATCTTTTAAAAGTCCAGTGTGTAACATTTAGGAGGCTCTATTGTAAACAATGGAATGGAATAAAATAATAGGTATGTTTTCATTAGTGTATAATCACCTACCTTTACACGTATTGTACAGAATGTGCAATATCAGTGTAAATGTCTATGTGCTGCTGGTGTTAATATCGGACAACTAGATATAATGAAGAAATTAATATCTGAATCCTACAGATAAAGTTGTTAATACAGATTTTTTTCCCACCACAAATGTCATAAGAGTGTAACTACCACGCAAAGTGCAGTGGAAAGAAATGAGATCATTTCTTTCCAAGCATACACACATTTGATTTGGAGCTGTAGATGCTAAAGGTGTTAACCACTGATGCACACAAATAACATACAGAACCCGATGTCACAAAGATCCCCAAACCCACACTTTGTGTTTAAACTTAAAAGATTGTGTAAAAAGAGAGAGGCTATAACAATATACCAAAATAAAGAGATTTAATGTGTCATTCCTTTTTCTTTATTAAAATATTTTATTGTCACAAAGACATATTCTGATCCCATTTGTCTTTTCTTGATTGTTTTGTTTGTTTTAGATGAGATAATTGTGTGAACCCCATGTACTTATATGCAATAAATCAGGTGGATACAAACGTTACTTTCCAGCACTGTACTCACTCATATTACCTGATAACTTTATATTGCAAATAGGTAGAAATGTGAAATGAATACACATGTGACCCAAAAGAAATCATTCACTTAGATATTTTTCATAAATATTTCTTACATAACTCAAATGTTTGGATATTTGTTTTACCTGGTATAAATATAAATAAAGTGTGCAAATTACTACTATTATATTAGCAAGTCACATGAAATATACACAAACAGCGTACAGAGTGTCATATGCACATGCAGGTTTATTGTATTTATTTTAAAATCTAAAATCTGGTTAAGTAATAGTATTAAATGTGGGAGAAGGAGAGTTGTATGAGTGAGCGTTTTTTTCTTGTGGTTTTTGAAGTTTCACTTTCCAGTCACAGAAATTTCC